TACACACACACATACACCCAGACACACACATACACACACACACACACGCACACTCACACACATATATATATCCAGACACTCACATACACACACACACACACGCACACTCACACACATATATATCCAGACACACACACACACACACACACATATATATCCACACACACACACACACACAGAGCCCTGCCTCAGCCTCGGGCTCATTTCAAACCCGGGCGTGCAGACACACCTCAGCTCCGTCGTCAGACTTAATCCTGCTGCTGCGGGACTCCCCCCCCCCCCCCCCCGCCACGCCAAGGTCACGTTCGTCTGTCAGAGGGAAGGTGGTGAGGCTCCGCTCAGCTCCTGGGGGGCAGAAGCCAACCACTGATCAGAGTCAAAGAGGAGGCTTTGGTTGGTTTTTCCTCCCGGGTTGTTGTGTCTTCTACAGGAAGCTGTCCGGCCTTGACTGGGCGAGAGGGGGGGGGGGGGGTCACAGAGGAAGTGGAGACATGCAAACATCAGGTCGGCTGAGTTCACCCACCGAGCTGCCCGGCGGCCAGAAAACCGACCATCCTGTTTTCCCTGAAGGGGCCGGTGGTCTCTGGGTTGCTCCTGGTTCTGGAGAACTCCTGGTTCTGTGTGCTCCCCGTTGCTAAAGCAAATATCTAATTATCCAAACCAAAGACTAGTATCCAAAGACAAGTAGGTGTGGCTTTTCTCTCGTTTCATTTAGTCCTTTCGTTTGGGGAATTAAGAGCAGGATATCTTCACTGTCAATGTCACAAGAGCAAAAAAAAGCTCTCTGTTAGCCTTTATTTCTCTGAATCTGATTCAGCCGGAGTTGATCTCTTTAAAATGGTGGAAGAAACATCTGAAACCTGCAGGACAGCAGCCCTCCAGATGCTCTCCGATGAGAAGGCACTCGAAGAATAATGAATAACTCAAACCCTAAAAGTGGAAATATCTTAAAAATGCCGTGTTTTGGGTTCTGAGTGGAGAGTTCCAGCTTTGTCTGCTTGTCCAGTGCTCATTGGTGGTTCATCCATTTTTATCTAACCGTCCATGACTTAATGATTTTGACCCACTGTGATCAAAAATTTTCCTCTTTTTGGTGGCTTTTCTGGATAGAACCCCCCCCTTTTAGCTGGTTCCAAGCAGCTCTGTTACATACATTTGATTCTGTTTCTTAAACATCTGTTTTTCTTTACTTTTTTAAAGAATATACTTGAATTTTTCCGGCATGTTTAGACTCAGATCTGTTGTCCTCTGTACAGCCTGCCTCTTTTTTTTCTTTTTGAGACTCCGGCCTGGGAAGGGCAGAAGTGTTTTGCCACATTCTGAGTTGAATGGCCTTCCTGGAGATATTTTTAAAGCCCTCTCTCTAGTTCCCACCTGCAGCTCTCTGTTTTGGGCGCCTCGTGTGTCTGTTTTCCTGCATTCTGCAGGTCCAACCGGACAGTGGCCATGAGCTGTTTGAGCCCTGGAAGTGTTTGTGTGGAGGGATTCTGCTGCTTTTTTGAGCTGACCGGTGTCTTTCTCTCTGTCTGGCCGCAGTCTCTCCTGAAGCCGCCATCATTCCGTGCTGTAAGGGCGACCCCGACATGTCTTCCAACGGGGACCTCAGCGACCTCGGGAGCTCGGACAGCTTCTGGGAGGTATGGCCACACTGCCTTTAGACCGGTTCTTAACCCTTTTGAGGTCCCGAACCCCCCAGTTTCTTTCTTTTTTAAAAACTTTATTGCCTTAAATGCGGGTTATCAAGCATTTAGCATCATACAAGGTAACAGAAAGAGGAAGGCAAATATAAAAGATAAATAAACACAAAAAACAATAAATAATAATAATAAAACAGAAATTGGGTCTAGTCTGTCACACTGTAGAGGGTATAGCACATATCTTATCAAGTTCTGTACACCAGGAGAACAAGGATATTTTAGATTTAAAGAAGCCTTAATAATAACAACAGCAATAACCGAACCCCCCAGTTTCAGATGCACATTCACTGAACCTTCTTTAGTGATGAATAAAATATGATTTTCTTTACAAATTCAAGACATAGCTATGTTTTTTTTACTGGTGCCGTACATGAATATCAGCTCGCTCGAAGAACAAAACCAACACACAAAAAAATTACCATATCAGAATCAGAAATAGTTTAATAATCCCAGAGGGAAATTATTTATTCATTATTTTCATATTATATCACATTATATCCCACGATGGAGGCTTATTTTCCAGGTTCCATATCAGTGTTACATCTGCTGAGAGGCAGCTGGCTTCACACATTTTTTTTTTAGTCTTCCTTTAAATTCAGAGCTTTTTTTTTGCCTCAGCATCTCTGACCTTTCTGCCTTTTCCCTCCAACGTGAAAGTGAGCTCTAGTAGGAACAAAGCAGCTGTACTTTCTCACGAACTGTGTGTGCCTGCAGCCGGGGAACTACAAAAGGACGGTGAAGAGGATCGATGACGGCCACCGGCTGTGCAACGAGCTGGTCAGCTGCTTCCAGGAGAGGGCCAAGATAGAGAAGAGCTATGCCCTCCAGCTCAGCGACTGGGCCAAAAGGTGGAGGGGCGTGGTGGAGAAAGGTCAGTTCTGGACCGAGTGCATCGGTTTGTAGAGCCCCGGGCTCATGTGTCTGATGTAGGCAGGATATCTGGATCGGATCGGCCACCGATATTTGCAAAAACATGCGTGTCCGATCCCACACGAGCATTAGCATCTGTAACCCACAGGTCTGTGTCCTAACCATTAAGTTGTTGTCAGAGTAAATCCCTGTTCAACATGAGTCTGACAACTAAGTAAGTAGATAAATAACTTTAAACTTTAACACATGCTCTGATTAGCCGGGATCGGTATTGGATTGGAAATTAAAAAAGTTGGAACGGGCCAATAAAAACCCTTTTTATTGATTGTTTCTTTCTCATTTCTTTGTTTTTCTATTTCTCTTCTATAAATAATTAGCTTTATTGTTATGTGTAATTATCTGCAGTATTTATTAAGGATTTATCGTAGGTTTTTGGAACCAACTCTAGGAATTACAGTGTATTCTGATGGAATATTTAAACCAACATACCAAATTTTAACATCCAGATCCAGTTTTTTAAAGTCCGATCCCACACGAGCATTAGCATTAGCATTAGCATCTGTAACCCACAGGTCTGTGTCCTAACCATTAAGTTGTTATCAGAGTAAATCCCTGTTCAACATGAGTCTGACTACTAAGTAAGTAGATAAATAACTTTAAGCTTTAGCACATGCTCTGATAGGCCGGTATCGGGATAAAAAAGCTGGATCGGGACATCCCTAGTCTGATGCTCCTAAAGGCCCATAATGCTCAGCAAGCCGACCCTCAAAAGGACAGAATCCACATTATTCAGCACTTGTGCTTCCAGTTTTGGCAAATGGTGGATTCAGAGGTGTAAAGTTTGTCTAAAAGGAAGGGCTTTTGCTGTAAAGTGGAGAATGAAGACGTGTCGTGTTCCTTTAGGGCCCCAGTACGGCACCCTGGAGAAGGCGTGGCACGCCTTCATGCAGGCGGCCGACCGCCTCAGCGAGCTGCACATGGAGCTGCGCGAGCGGCTGGCCGGCGAGGACAGCGAGAGGGTGCGCGGCTGGCAGAAGGACGCCTTCCACAAGCAGATGATCGGCGGGTTCAGGGAGACCAAGGACGCCGACGACGGCTTCCGCAAAGCCCAGAAGCCCTGGGTGCGCAAGCTGAAAGAGGTGAGGCCCAGGGAGCTCCTCCAGATATAACACACCCACCAACCAAAAATGGAGGAGTGAGTGAGGTTTAGCCGTTAAATCTTTAAGGTTCACACTCAGGAAGCGCTTTTAGGTCCCAGCACTGTTCAAAAAAACCTGCACAAATAATTTAAATGGACGTTCAAACCATCTGCGTATCCATTTTTAAAGCTGATTTTGGCAAATTACTGCAGAGATATTCTGTTTTCCTGCAGAAATCATTTAAATGGATGTTCAAACAACAACCTGTGTTTCCATTTTTAGAGCTTATTTTGATAAATTACTGCAGAGATCTTCTGTTTTCCTGCAGAAATCATTTAAATGGACGTTCAAACAACCTGTGTTTCCATTTTTAAATCTCATTTTGGCAAATTACTGCAGAGATCTTCTGTTTTCCTGATGAATGTGAGATATGCTGGTTGAGAACTGGTCACACAGCAGGTTTTAGCACAGAAAAATAGGTTTGCAGGTGGATATCATTTTAAAATCTGTGTTTTAATCAGCCAGAGTCAGTGGGAGTGTTTCTAAAGTTTGTGTAAAACAGGTTTGAATGAAGAAGCAATCAGATGAGTCATTTCTGCAAAACTCAAAAGTCCAGCAGCAAATCTTCTCTTTTCAAAGGTTCTGAGATTTGCCCGAACCATTTTCTTTTCCTCTTTCTTTTCCTTTTCCGTGCGTCTGCCGCTGGGTGGTTGTGTATTTGCCGTTCTGTCTGTGTGTGGAGGTGGAGTCCAGTAAGAAGAGCTACCACCAGGCCAGGAAGGAGGAGTGGACGGCGGTCAACAGGGAGACGCACGCCAGGGCCGACCCGTCCAAGTCCCAGGAGGAAGTCCGCAAATACTCCACCCGGGTGGAGCGCTGCAGCCAGGAGGCCCAGAAGGTAGGAGGCACACACACACACACACGCACACACACACACACACACACACACACACACACAGAGCCCCACCCCGCCGGGGTGTGCCGGGGAGTCCAGGGAAACATACCTGAGTGTGTTTCTGGGGAAACGTGACCGGGCTCGTCTGATCAACACAAACCCGGACGAGCCAGCGATGGCGTTTGGGGGGGGAAATGAGCGGCCAAACACGGGGACATCCTGAGACCTGGAACAATGTCCGTCTCAGCGAGGAATCCCAGTCCCCTCACCCCCCCTCCTCCCCCCTCAAGCCGCCCGTTGGCCTGATTGGGTTTTCTCTTTTTCTCTTTGGGTTTGGACGGTGTGGGGGGGGCAACAGCCACACTGAGCAGCTTCATCCTGCAGCTTGTGAAGAGGCCAACACCCTTAAAAAAAATTAAAAATTTGTTTTTTTTTAAAAAGCATCCAAACGCCAAAGCACTGACATTTTTTAAAGATAAAAAAATGCTTGTTAAAACAATTTTTATTGCTCTCTGAGCTCAGAAATCCAGAAAAGCTGCAGCTTGCTTTGAGTGGAGCTTTAAACCTTTTTTTAAATTATTTTTTGGGTGCTTTGGAGGGAAACCACTGAGAAGCTTTTAGTAAATGCAGGTTTTTAACTGATTTATTGATTTGTTGGCAGTGCAGTTTGCCCTTTGCGCTCTATGTCAGCTCACTCTTTTTGTGTTTTTTTTTTTGTGTATTGAGGCGTTGTTGGAATCTCTGATTATTTCTGTTCGTTAAAGCCACGGCTGTGATGTCGCTCAGGAACTCCTGTTCGCATTTTTATTCTTAGCTCGTCATTGATATCAGTTTCTATAGCTTTCTCATATTGATCGAGCTTATTTAAACTCATGCATGATATTATTCACTTCCATTTTATCTAAAAACAACCAAAGAACAGCAAGCATCCTCTTTAAAAACTTAGAATATACAATCCTCTTCCTCTGTATTTCATATTGAGCAAATAGAAAAGGGTTTCCCAGCTCAGGAATGGGAGCCAGGAGGGGGGGGGGGGCAATACCTGAAGAGTTTGGTCTCATCCAGATCTGTTTTTAAAGAGCAGAATGAACTTCAGGCTGTGTGGAAAAACGTTCCTTTTTCTTTTTCTTGTTATTTTCTGGTGCTCTGTTCTCTTTTTGAGGCCTTTCCTATGGAGCCAGCGCCACCTGTTGCTTAACTTTCTGAACTCGTGATGAGTGGAGTGCTGTGGTCTGTGTTCTTCAGATGGAGGAGCGCTACCAGAAGGCTCTGGAGGAGCTGAACCGCTGCAACCCGCGCTACATGGAGGACATGGAGCAGGTGTTCGACCTCACCCAGGAGGCCGAGCGCCGCCGGCTGCGCTTCTTCAAAGACGTGCTGCAGGACGTCCACACGCACCTGGACCTGTCCTCCAAAGAAAGGTGACCCCTTACAGACGTGTGTGGAAACATGTCGGTGTGTGCTCAGGGGTTAATGGAAAGCTCGAGCTGTTTGACTATTAACTCCTGACCTCTTGTTTTATTTGAACATGCCAGAGTCCAACTCCAGCTATTGAACGGATTTATCTGGACATAACGACATAGCGATGGCTGTCTGGAGTAGGGATGTCCCGTTCCAGCTTTCTTGATACCGATCCCGGCCTATCAGAGCATGTATTAAAGTTTAAAGTTATTTATCTACTTACTTAGCTGTCAGACTCATGTTGAACAGGGATTTATTCTGATAACAACTTAATGGTTAGGACACAGACCTCTGGGTTAGGAGATGCTAATGCTAATGCTCGTCCGGGATCAAACTTTAAAAAACTGGATCTGGAGTCTGGACCTGTTTTTTCTCCTGCCGGCCGAGTTTCCTCCAAATCCGGCCGGTCCAAACCTGACCACAGCCCAGGCCCCCTCTGCTGCCTCTGACTGGATGGGAAGCAAAAACACACCCAGAAACGGTCATTCAGACATTCTCTGTGGGATCCTTCCTGCTTTTTGTTTCTATATTCATCCAAAAAACACTGTTGCAGAGGCCTGGGTTTTAGTTTAGTTTAGTTTAGGTCGCAGCTCAGACTGCGTCGGCTGGAAAAATGCTCCTTACAGGACATTTATTGGGATTCAAATCTACACCTCAGGTGTAAATAAGATTATTAATATTATTATTATTGTTTTTATTATTATTACTACTGCTATTATTATTTTCGGGCCTGAGAAAACCTGAGAAAAAGTCAAGTTGTTATTTTTTTTTTTTTTTGTCTAAATATTTTTTTTTTTTTTTTTTTTTTTTTCAGGCTTTAAAGCAATTTTCCAATCAAATGATCAAAATCAAATCTGTGATCCGTTATTATAAATACATGGGGGCTTTAGCAGTGAAATATCCAATTGAATTTAAAAAGTGTCTGATTCATCCTTCTTTTGTGGCCATAAAGATTCCCTTCAGGTTTTTCCTCTCTGGCCGGTGTAAATTTGCCGTTTTGTGGAACAGACTGATGTGACGGTGAATTGTTTCTTTGTCGTCCAGCTTCAGAAACCTGTACCGGGACCTGGGTCAGACCATCCAGGCCGCCAACGACGCCGACGACCTCCGATGGTGGAGGAACACCCACGGGCCGGGCATGAGCATGAACTGGCCCCAGTTTGAGGTGTGGAAACACACACACACACACACTCACACACACACACACAGGGAACTGTTTCCACTCTTTATTCATCCTGTCACAGGTACAATAACATGGGAGCAAACTGTGGAGACATGGCATAACTCAGTTCCTTTTCTGTTCCAGTTTTGGACCAGTTTAGCCTCCTTTTAGACCAGTTTGGGTTAGTTTTGAGCTGGATTGGGTGAGTTCGGTTCAGTTTTGGACCAGTTTAGGTCAGTTTTGGGTTAGTCCGGCTCAGTTTTGGACCGATTCGGTTCCCTTTTAGTTTGGGTCGTGCACTCAGCTCCATGGGGGAGTTTTTATATCAAATATATGCAAAATAAACAGGGAATCAACAAAAAAAAAAAGTTTTCGTTTGAAATTCATCGTCCTGCCATGTTATCTTGTGGCCTATTTTGGACTGATTTGGGTCAGTTTGGGTAGGCTTTGTACCAGTTTTGGACCGGTTTAGCCCCCTTTTGGACTGGTTTGGTTTAGTTTTGGGGAGAAGTGTGAGTCTGGGAGTTCTACTGTGGAGCCTAAAACTGCTTAGTGGCATTGATATTAAACCTTCTTTCCAGTTTCCCAGCCATTTGGACAATGGACTAAGTAGTTGGACTTATCTCCAAAATCGATTCTCCCATCTGTCTTTTAAAAAAAGAAATGATAACAAGAAAGTGTTGGGGGGGAAAAAAAGAGTAAGCCTGTGGTATTGGTGGATACGTGTCAGGGGTCAGTGGACCGTTGTGTGCACGGTGGACTTTTAGCCCCCCGACTCCTGGATGGAGCTGAGGAGAGAGAGTGTGTAGAGTTGGGCATCCTAACGGCCTTACAGGTGGATGGAGTGTGTGTCCGGGATGGAGATGTGTGGGTTTGAGTGTGTAGCCCAGCTGGCTTTATTGGTAAAACCTCTAGAAACAGCAGGGAGAGAACAGAGAGCTGAACTCCAGACAGGTTTGCTCCCAGTGTCCTCTGAAGCAACGGACTCCTCTGTGTGTGTGTGTGTGCAGGTGTAAGTGTGTGTTGGTGAGTGTGTTTGTGAGGCCTTGGCCCGCGACAGGTGAGTATTTATCAAGGTCCCCAAATTGGTCATAAATACAAAACTGTGTGTATGTGTGTGTGTAAGTGTGTTTGTGTGTGAGTGTGTAAGTGAGTTTGTGTGTGTGTGTGTGTAAGATAGGCCTCGGCCCGCGATGGTCCTCAGAAGGTAGGCATTTTTCTGGGTCCCCAGATTGGTCACAAATACAAGACTGTGTGTGTGTGTGTGTGTGTGTGTGTCTGAGAGCAGCAGGCTGAATATTAAACGAGCTCCCAGTGAATGCCTGGTCTGTAGCCGGGAGCTCTGAGTGGGCTCAGGAATGTCGGACAGGCACACACATTTGTTGGTCGTCTTCGGCCACCGAGGACAAACAAATATTTACAGATATCACAACCAAACAAACAGATGGCAGCGATTACTTTACGGCCCCCTCGTTCGGGTTTCACACTTATTTATGTAAATGTCTTTAAGTCCACATGAACATGAGTTCAACAGACTGTAGTAAACAGATAAATGGAGGCAGAAGATGTCTTCCAGTCATCAACGCTCACATTCAACCACACACACGAGATCTATCTATCTATCTATCTATCTATCTATCTATCTATCTATCTATC